CATGTTGTATTAGTAGTAGGTATCGTATTGTGATTATTAGGTGAGAAGCCTGAAGCTGTTAAGACACATATGCGTAACATGACTGTTGTACCAGAGATGGTTGGTTCTGTTGTTGGTGTCTATAATGGTAAGAACTTCATCAATGTTGAAATCAAGCCAGATATGATTGGTCATTATTTGGGTGAATTCTCTATTACCTATAAGCCTATTAGTCATGGTCGTGCTGGTATGGCTGCTCGCTTCGTACCTCTTAAGTAGATGATAATAGTATCAACAACAACAACAACAATGATGATGTTGATGATGATATAGGCTGGTAGTAATAACGATGCTCTATATGAACATTAATCGAGTATCATCATTACTATTGATGACTGATCATCATCATCATTATCAAGATGCTGCTACTACTACTTATCATCGATTCTTGCGTTATAGTTAGTGTGTAGGTATATACCTACGCTAGATGCTTACAATCATTAATGTAGCATTATAAGAAATGATAATGCTGCTGTTATTAGTAGTAGCATCTGAGAGGGTGCTGGTGGGAGGTGGTAAGTTACATTGGCCGCTTATAGGACGGTTAGTTTTATATCCATCTAATTTTGAGGAGAATGATCATATCATATTGGTGGTAATGGTATCGATATTACAAGAGGTATCACAGCTTAAATGGTGTGAGATTATTAGGGTTGGACGACGAATAGTATTAATAATATACTCCTGGCCTTGTTGATAATAAGAGCGCATTTCTATGTGTTAGTAGTGTACTATCATGTTAATACATCTATAATACATTTGCTACTACTACTGCTTATGATTATACAGCTGTAGCCCTGATAGAGCAAGCAGCTACTAATGCAGAATTGCTGATCAAAAGGGAACAGCAGCAGATGATGATGATGAATAGACAAAACTCATGTGAAGACAGTGTTACTCCCACCACGGAGCGGTTATTGAGCTTAAGTCCCTTCTCGTAATCATCTAATGATCGGAGGCCGCCATAGACTATATGGGAAGGATAAGATCTATCATTGAATGAGGAGTAGTAGATAAGGAGTATTAACTAAGGATCTATTTTCAGGGTCTATACGAGAGAGGCAACGACTGTGGGAACCTCGAAGAGATTGATGAATACATTTCTCAATCTACCACCTCCATTCACCATTATCATACCAGAATATAATAGATATTCTCACTAGGTAGAGATTCAGTGTCGCTCATCTTTACGCGATGGTATTATCTAAACTATCTATCTACGGTCGTAGTAGGTGCCCATAAGCTCATTCTTCGCATAGTCTTTCTCTTGTTGTGTGTTCAGCCTCATATGTTCCACGCCTATTAGGCTTTCATCTAATCGCTACTTTTGTAGACTTCTTATTTGTT